AAACAAACAAACAAACAGTTCGGGGCCAGCTCTTTGGTTGAGAGTATCTGTGAGCATGTGGGGCAGAAGAACCCACCAGTGATGAGGGTGTGGGGTGTCCACTCACTCAGGCACCCCCTCTAGTCACCAGAATGGAGGTTCACAAACACCAGGCCAATTAACAGATACCAAAAAGAAAATCAGAACAAAGCAAAACCAACAAAGTGTATTGTCCACCTTTGCTCCAAGGTTCCCGTGGGATTTTTCCGTGGTGTATCTGCTCCTGTGCTTGGTCTTGCTGGTTGGTTTCACCCAAGTTATTGGCTCAGGGCTGCTGAGCCCAGCAGATTCAAAAGTATGAGATTTCTTACTTTTGCTACAAATCCCACTAGGTATAAGCCTTCAAACCTTTTAAATATTCCTATCTCTGTGGTTCCGAGTTTTGGAGCTCTGCCCTGGATCTGCTTTGCCTGGTATTCTGTGGTATCACTGACAACAAACTTCACTGCACCTCCACCCTAGCAGCCATCAAGCCCTGCCTCTGATAAATTCCGTATTTCTTGAAGCAAGAAATATAAAGTTTTCTTTGGTAGAAATACAAACAGAATAAACAACTAAACAGAATCCATACCTCTAACGTAAAATTATAGTTGACCCCCAATTTACTAATGGGTGTTGTGTGGTGCTATAGGATAATCATTCAAACTCATGGTCAGTTTGAACTACAAAGTCAGTGGTTCAAACTCTCCAGCTGTTCCTCAGAAACCATATACAGGGTAGCTATGAGTTGGAATGACTCGACCACACTTAGCAACAGCAATATTGTTGCAAAGTTATTTTCTAAGATATTTATATTAAATGTGACATGTATGTGACATATATCATATAAAGTTCTCAATTGCTCACAGAAGCAGAATTAATATGGCTTGCTCTTATTGTCGTTAAATGCCATTGAGTTGGTTCTGACTCACAGTGACCCTGAATAAAGTTTCCAAGGAGTGACTGGTGAGCTTGAACAACCTACCTTGTGGTTCAAACTGATGTGGTCTAGTGTATTATACCACAGCATCACATCAGGACTCCTTTAATACTATCAATCATGGCTCAGGGTATTTCTAAATCTTGAATCTTCTGCTCTCCTACTCTTCCCTCCACTATTTTCTGTGAGTGGCAAGCATATGACCCTTCTGGAGACTGAGTCCTAAGCTCTTATTTGAGCTTCTATGTGTCTGAGCCAGAGGTGTGAGGAAAAGGAAAATGAGTGTTAAACTAGAAGGAGGCTCCTGCAACACTTAGTGACATCTCAGGACCAATGACTTCCCAAGACATTATAGCAGTAAACCTGGAAAAATGGCATGGGACAAGGTGGAACAAAAGTCAGGCAAACCCATATGACTCACATCGATATTAAAAAAAAAAAAAAAAAAGACTGCATCAAGAAAGAAAACTATTAAATCCAAAGAAAATATTTTTGGTTGTTTTGTTATTTTATTGTAACATTAATAGAGCAGTTTTAGATATTTCAAAAGAGGTTGCAAAGACTCAAACACATTAAAGTGAGTTAAATTAATATATTTGTATTCATTTCTTTATTTTCTAGAAAACACAACTTGAATCACTAGAAGAAAATCTGCTCTTAGCTCAAGAATATCAAATGATACAGGATCAATTCTTAACAGAAAAGGAGAAATATTTCAATAAATATGATAGACAGTTGTCACTTGATGCTTCAGTTAGAGATAAAGCACAGGTATTTTTTCCCCTTATTTTGTTTGTTTTTAAGATAATTATTTATTGACATAAAGTACAAAGTAAAGGGTGGTTAATCGAGCTGTCCCTCATCTGAGGGTCAAACAAACCTGATACAACACAGCATGTTTTCTTTCCATAATACTTTGTTTCATATTCTGGTCAAACATTTGAAATGGAATTTTAAAAAGATATTTGAGAAATGAAAGCCTTGCTTTTGAATCTACCATTTGATACTAATTGCTGTTTAAATTATTTGGACCAATAATGCCATTTGTGTGTGTGGTTTGTAAATTTATATATATTAGCATACACTTGAAACTTCAATTCTAAGTGCAGTGAATTCCCCTGATAAGCCTCTAAGTTTTCTCTAGATGTATGAGTTCCAAATTTTGTTTCTATTTTTATATTAGATATGGAGAGTCATTAGAAACTCGAAGAAACATCTGACCCTGACTGTTTACTGGAAATCACTGAGATTTCTGAAGATATTTTTATAAAATTTCTGCTAAAAAAATGAAAAGTAAAGTGAACATATGCGCACACCATAGATAAAGAAGGATGAGAGTGCCATGTGTGCAGTGTTAAGATATGGCCACTTGCTATATATTCTTCTCCAGGTACTCACTGATGAGAAAAATCACTTTTCCTTTGAATCCTTGTTTCTCCTTCAGGATTCAAATTTCAGGAAATAGAGGAATGATTATGTCTTTGCATTTCACCTAGCCATAAAAATCAGTAGAGTGCTAATTTATCCTTTCACCTCTTGGTGTCATACACGGTTATTGTTGTTAAGTGTCATTGAATAAGTTCCTATATAGGGTTTCTGAGGAGTGGCTGGTGGGTTTGAAACACTAACCTTGTGGCTAGCAGTCACATGCTTATCTTCAATGCCACGCCAGGACATCATCATACTTAGGTATATATTATAATTGCAATACTATATCTACCCTTCATTGCTTTAGTTGCTGTAGGGTCAATTCTGATGCATGGCTATCCCATGTGTATAGAACTGTGCCTGAAAATGTTTTGTATGGTTGATTTTTCAGAAGTGGATCTGTAGGCCTTTCTTCCAAGGATCACTCTGGGTATTCTCAGATTGTTGTTGTTGTTGTTAAGTGCCATGGAGTCGGTTCCGACTCATAGTGACCCTGTACAGGGTTTCTGAGGCTGTAAATCCTTACGGGAGCAGAAAGCCTCATCTTTCTCCTGCAGAACAGCTGGTAGTTTTGAACTGCTGACCTTGCAGTTCACAGCCCGTTTCGTAACCGCTACACTTCCAGAGCTCTTTATTCTCAAATTACATTTGGGTAAATCTCAAACTTTTCAGTTAGCAGCTTAGCAGCTGAACATGTTAATTGTTTGTACTACCCAAGGTCTGCCTCATTACTGAGAATGCTGCTAGCCAGGACTTGAATGCAAGCATTCACAGTTACTAATTCAGTGATTTTAGCAAATTATTTACCCCTTCTGTCTCAGGGCTTTGTTGTTGTTGTTGTTTTAAAATTTGTTAAAAAAAGATTTACTTCATAGAGCAATTTATAAGCAATTAAAAAGAGACACCCATAAGAAGTTACTTTGAAAATAAAGGGATGCCAACAACAAAAAAAAAAGAACTCTGGTAGCTTGGGCTGTTAGCTGCAAAGGTAGCAATTAGAATCTACCAGCCGCTCTGTGGAAGACAGATGAGGTCTTCTACTCCCGTAAAGATTTACTGCCTTGGAAACCCTATACAGCGTCACTATGAGTCGGAACTAATTTGATGGTGCACCACCACCACCGCCACCACCAACATGCTGTTGTAGAATCTCATTGTAGTGCAAATGATTAACACTCTGGATGGAGGTTCAAGTCCACCCAAAGTGACTCGGAATGAAGGTCTGGCAATCTATTCCTGAAACAATTAGCCATTGAAAACCTTGTTTTAGAATAGTCTACTCTATTACACACAAGGTCACCATG